GAGAGAGAGAGAGAGAGAGAGAGAGAGAGAGAGAGAGAGAGAGAGAGAGAGAGAGAGAGAGACACGCAGAGACCTTGAGGCTGAGAGAGTCAGGGACCCACGGGTCCTGAGACCGTAGGAGACAGGGAAAGGGAGAGACAGAGGACTTTAGGATCCCTTACCCCCTCCACTACCGAGGCTCCGATTCTAAGGCCGAGGGAGTGGAGAGGTCAGAGACCCAGAGAGAAAGAAAGAGGCAGAGAGCGCTCAAAAGCCTGGGGCCGAGAGATGCTGAGATCCAGAGACCTTGAGCTTGGGGAAGAGAGAGACAGAGACAGAAAGAGGCAGAAGAGACAGAAAGAGAAACAGAGACAGACCCTGAGAAAGAGAGAGAGCAGGGGCCAGCCGGGGGTGGTGGTGGGGGGTCCCTGATAAAGACTGGAACTCTAGCCAGGCCAGGGGCTGGAGGAAGCGGGAGGGGGCGTCYCGGGCCGGGGTCCCCAGAGCAGCGGGCGGGCGCAGAGGAGCAGAGCCGGGTCCTGCAGCCGCCGCGGAGCTGGGAGCGGGGCCAACCCCCCCCCCCCCGCCGTGATGTCAGCGGGGCCACTCTTAAAGGGGCAGGCCGCCCGCCGAGGGTCGAAGCAGGGGCTGGGGCCTGCGGGCATAGAATGGGGGGGGTACAGGGGCAATGATACGGGAGACAGAGGAAGCCTCAGCATCCAGTTGGACTGGGGCCCAGAAACCCAGGAAACTGCAGACCAGAAAGTATGCCAGGCCCTCAAGGGGGCCTGCGAAGCTCTGGGGCTCAATCCCCTCCAAACGCATAGACAGGCATACCACTCTGCCGGCCTGTCCCGTCCAGGGACTACATTCCCCATCAGCCCTGGCGGCCAGGGGCCGCACCTGAGGGAAGGGTCTGTCGCAGTGTCTGCTGGGAAGTGTAGTCTTTATGGATTGGCCCCTCTACTCCCCTCCTGCCCCCCAGTTACGAGTGGGTCGGGGGGACAGGCCAGAGGACACTTCTACCTTCCTTCTGACTTACTCGCCCACTGAGCTGCAGGGTTCTGGTTGTTTTGATTTCTCCATTGTGTGGTCTCTTCCTCTAATCAAGTCTTTAGGTGTCTGTTTAGGAGGCCAACCTTTCATGTCTTTTCCCAGGACCTCCCAGGTTTGGATCTTGGTGTGTGGGTATGTGTGTGTGCGCAAGCATGTGTGTGCACGCACGCCCTTGCATGTTGCTCTGGATAGATATGTAGATGCTGTGTCTCCGTGCAAGGGATCTCTACCTTATACTTTGAATGGTCTAGGTATACATTTCTCATTGTGTTGAGTATCCACTTTGGTCCTCTCTAGAGCAGGCTCGCTCTCTTTCTGTGTATCCTATCTCTCGGGGTCTTTTCTCTTCCCTCTCTCATGCTGTGGGTATCTTCTCTTTTTGGCAGGGAGACTCTCTACTTTCCCTCTCTCTGTGTGCAACCCCCCTCCCTGCCTCTGTTTGTTTCTATGTACCATCATGGTCCCACCTCCGCATTCCCTTCATTCTCCAAGCTTAAAAGAAAACATCCCAACACTTCAGCATCAGCATCCCAAATTTATTCTCCAGCAGCTGTGTCCGGGTGGGAGAGGCTAAGGGAAGAGGAGGGGGAGGTGGGGGAGGAGGGGAGAGAGTCCCAGAGAGTGGCAGGCACTGGGCAGGGGGTGAGAGGTTCCCAATAAAACTGGAGCCATGCATGGGCAGGTGAGCAGTAGTGGGTTGGGGACAGGGGAGTCTAGAACAAAAGCTGAATCCTCCATAGATCCCAGGAATACCCGATGTGGTAGGGAGGTGGCCTGGAGAAGGGGAGCACAGCCTTCCTCTTCGTCTACAACTCGGGCCAAAGTGGGAGGGGCCTAGAGGATAGAGGTGGATCTAATCCGAGTCTGGACCAAGCAACCCCAATAGACTGGACCAAGCAACCCCAATAGACTACTGCCCCAGGGTGGGGTGAGAGAAAGAGGCATTGAACTATCAAGATGGAGTTTAGAACCCCATGGAGTTGGGACGGTAGTGTGGTTCTGGAAGCCAGTAGAAGAGCATCCAGAACGCTGGGGGTGGGGGACAATATAGGGCTCAGCCGAATCTAGAACACAGGAAGGCTCTAGAGACTCCATGGAGTTTAGAATGTCAGGAATGCTTGAGAGGAGCATCTAGAACCCTTGGGAGCAGAGGCCAGAATGCTGGGGGCAGGATCTAGAATGGGGAGGTGGGCAGAGAAGTGGGGGCTGCGACTGGCGAGCGGAGGGGGCATTGAGGACACCTAGCGGCAGCAGGTGAGATTACATGACGGGCACAGGCACTGGGCTGGTGGGGCTGCGGGCATCCGGGTGTACGAAGTCCGGGTTGACGTAGGTGAAGCCCTGGAAATCCGCCTGGTCGATGCTGGCCAGGACCAGGCGGTCCGGCGGGGTCAGTGCTGGCGCCGCCCGCGTGAAGAACTTATCGAAGTTCTCGCCACTGCGGCCACACTGAGGGAAAGTAGGAAGGGCAAGTCAAGCTCTGCCGGCTCCTGGGGGGCCTGTCCCGGAATGCCATTCCCGCCTCCTCCAGACTCTGGACACTCCCTGCATCGTCTCCGCACCCCCCTTCAGGGTGTCTCCGCAGAGGGGTCCACTCCCCGTAAAGGAAATGAAGCTCAGGAGTGCCCCTCCCCCACTCGGGAACCTAGGCTGGAGGCTCCGACTGACCGGGCGTGGCCTGAACGGAGGCGCAATCTCCAAGCGCTCCAGCCGCTCCCAGTCAATCCAGCGGAAAAAGCCGTGCGCCCGGATGGTGGGCTCCCCGTCCGGCCCGGAGCCTAGGCGCTTCCCTGGGTGCTTGGTCAGGAACTGTGGGAAGCAGAGAGAGACAGACAGACGGACAGATAGAGTCCAGGACAGGGAGACCACAGAGGAACAGACACAGGCACAGGATCCAGAGGGAGAAGAACAGCAAGGGGAACGGAGATGGGGAGGAGGGGCAAGAAAGAAAGGGAGAGAAGAAGGGGAAGAGGGAAAACAAGTGGAATCCAGACCCGGAGACCAAAGGACAGTCCGAAAAACAGAAAAAAAAATATCAAGGTGTGAGGGGCAGGGAACCCAGAAAGAGAGGAGTGGAGACATGGAGGGAATCCCAAAGGGGAAAGGGAAGGGGGAGGGAGAGAAGTTTGGAGACCCAGAGAAAAGGAAGAATAGAGAGTCAGAGGGCGGGACATGGAGAGGCAGAGGGCAGAGACCCAGAGAAGGCAGAACAAGAGAGCCACAGTGTGCAGTTACGAGGGGAAGAGGGCAGTGGAGACCCAGGGAGAGGGGGACAATGTCAAAGTGTGGACAGAGATATAGGAGGAAACACCAGGAATCACCAGGGCCACACCTAGAAGGCCACCACATGCAGATGGAGGCAGAGGTATGACACAGAGACCCAGTGCCAGTCAGAGGATGTGGAGACACCTGAGCAGGAGCGGCTGACACTTCTTGGAAACCCATGGTCAGAGAACCCCGTGGTTCTCCTGCATTAACTCCACGACCTTGGAGGAGAAGACTGAGTCACGGTCTTGGTGACTCTTCTAAGAGTCCCCCTGAACACAAAAGCTGCGGGAGTTCAGTCTACCTGACTCACCAAGCCCTGGCCTTTCAGCACTTCCTGCCGTGAGCCAGGGAGTGGGAGCCGAGGAGGGTAGGGTAGAGGCTCGGGCTGGGTGCAAGCAGAGCAGCACATGGTGATTCTAACAAAACCTGTGCATTCCACCAGTTTCCAAGAAGATGGGGGTAAAGACACTTGAGGAATGGGAGCCTTTTTAAAGATAGACCACAAAGGGGGCATGGATCATGAGTCTGAAGAAGCTGGGAGTGGGGATCCTCACCCCCTTGCAGATGGCCACAGCCTCCCGGGAAAGTGACTTGGGGTAGGTGACTGTTTGCTCCATGATGGCCTGAAACAGCTCCTCCTCATCTTCCCCATCAAAGGGTGGCTGTGGAAGTGGAGGAAATAAAGTCAGAGACTCTCCAAACTACTTTTTCCAAACCTTAATGCCCTCATCACCCACCATGAACACGACCAACGGAACCAACCACTGAACCCAACCACTCACTGCCACCAGAAGACTTCCCAGCAAGAGTAGACCAAACTCTCAAAGTTCAATTTCTCCACAGTTTTTTGTTTGTTTGTTTGTTTGTTTTGTCTCACATGCCTCAGTTCAATGCAGCTCACTGTCTGGCTTTATTTATCTGATATGTCAATCAACAGGGTGTTAAATATGTAATATGCCATTTAAATAGAAGGGAGGAATGCTGCAGGACAGACCGTAAATGCACCCTCCGGCTGAATGCACAACTCTGGGACAGGAAAGGCAACACCAAGGTGAGGGGTCTTAGTTTGGAGTCTAGGTGGTCTGTGTAGACAGCTGGGGGGAGCATGTATTTGGGTAGGGAAAAAATGGCACTTTATCTTTTTAAGCTGCTAGCTGAGCATTAACATTTCCTCCAACTGTGAATGTAAGCAATAATTTCTGATAGCAGTACCTATATAACTTCATCACCAATAGAAACCACAGTATCTTATCATGAGAGTTGCAGGCACTTCAGAATATCAGTTTTCAGTCATTCCTACCTCCGAATATGTAAGATCTTCCTAAAGCTGTGTATCACTGTTAGAGCTACTACTTAATGGATTGATTAAAAACAGTATATGTTCACATCCCAATTTTTAATATTTAGACAACTGTATATATTTAATTAAGTTAGATTCAATTAAATTATTAAAGTTTTGAAAGCTATGTGATTGACTTTGTCATTCTATTATCTTATTTTGTGTACACGAGAACAATATTTTGAGAAGAAGCACACAGGCCTCCCCAGGCTAGTGGGGTCCCTGGCAACAAAAAAGGGAGGTGGTTACGCAGTCCCGCCTATGGTGAGACAATATTTCAGGACCCTGGACAACGCTGCCTGGGCTCAACCTCTGCCTGGCTGGGCGCACCTCCTTAGACTTCTGACCTCCTTTCCACCTTGCTTTTCCTGAGATAAAGGCCACACAATGGGAGCACCCCACTGTGTTGCCTCTACAACACCAGCGTCTCCCCATCTTCCCCTTACCTGTCCCGCCAACATCTCATAGAGCAGAACTCCGAAGGACCACCAATCGACAGACTTCCCATATGGCTGGTAGGCAATGATCTGGAGGGAGGCCCAAAGGCAAGGAATCATGATTTTTCTTTAAGAAGCCCCAGGATTCCCCTGGCCTCGCTCTCCGGATCCCTACCCACTTCAAGTGCTGCAAGCACTTGAATTCTTCCCACTCTGAATATTTTGGCTAGAGCTCCACCCTTTGGAAAATTCATGAAACAAATTCATCTATTTAAAACATCCCTTTGCTCTCAAACATAAAGACCACCTAAGGGCCAAGGCACAAGTTCCAGCCATCTAGAACATTTGGGTAACTGAACCTTGCCTTTGAATATCAGGTATGGGGCTAAATCTTGGAGACTAGAGAACACAGTCATCTAAGGTATTATTTTAAAAATAGATGCTCCTGCCACTGAAGAATTCTGGCTTTGGTGAGACAGAGGGACCATCAGGAACATGTATTTCTCTAATGTTCCACAGGTGATTCTGTTACCAACCAGGTTTTGTAACCAATAATGTTATCCGGGCATTAGCATTCATCAGTTGAAAAGATCAAGGGACAACACCCCCAACACAAGCTTCTCCCCAACCTAGAGAAGTTAGGGACACACAACACCCATCTGCATGCACACCAGAACATGAACTCCAGCCCCTTCACAAAGCCACAGCGATTCTCTGCCCACTGAGAGTACTTGAGGAAGTGCAGCTGCTCTCCAGGACTCTTAGGGGTGTGACCCTTCCCTCTGACAGTGGCAGAAGAGCAGCCCACTGAGATCAAAGAGCCATGGGCCCTAGGTTCAATCCCCAGAACCTCAGAAACAAAACAAAACAAATCCATGTGCAAAACGCACCCAAGAGCTTTCCTCCAATGACTACTCCAGCTGGAGTACACAGGAGAGGAGAACCTCAACGCATGCATAGTATTCTTAGGGGACAGGCCCCTGCCCACACAAAGTACCCTAGAAATAGTCTCCACTCCTTAGGATGATCCAGGCCCTACTCACTCAGCATTCCTACCAGCTGGTGCCACTGCCTTCCAACATCCACCCACCTGTGCGGCTCACGCTGCCTATTTAGAGACCCAGCTCCTCCACTTAGAGCTCAGCCAGCAGGCCTCCCCGTGCAGACCCTGGAGGGAGACCTCACYTGCTTCCAACACCCACAGGCCCCTGGGCACCACCCTCTGTGAATACTACACAGCCACACCCACCAAGGGAGGTCAGAATGTGCCCAAAGCAGCACTTTAAACTCCAAGGTGGGGATTCCACCTCTTGGGTCCCCTTCTTCCTCCGGGAGAAGTCTTTTCTTCTGTCCTTTAATAAATTTCTAATTTCTACTCTGAAAAAAAAAAAAAAAAACTCCAAGGTTACCTCAGGGGCTATGTAGTCCGGGGTCCCGCAGAAGGTGCGGGTTGTGGTCCCAGGGAAGACGTTCTCCTTACACATGCCAAAGTCAGTGATCTTGATGTGTCCTTCAGCATCCAGCATCACGTTGTCCAGCTTCAGGTCCCTGGAAGATGAGGGGAGGAGGAGGAGGAATTGTGGGAAGGGCTCAGTTCAGCAGGCTGCAGCCCTAATCCCTTCCCCTCGAAGGCCAGACATCCCTCCAAGGAGAGTCCCGGGGCTGACCTGTAGATGATGCCCTGATTGTGAAGGAAGAAGAGGCCAATGGCGATTTCGGCCGCATAGAACCTGCAAAGTCAGTGTGAAGTTGGAAGGTCACTGGACCTAGCCCTGCCACCCTCCCCTCCCTTCCTTCTTAGCTGAGACTCACGCTGCATGGGGCTCCTTAAACTTGCCCAGCTGCTGAATGTGGTACATCAAGTCACCCCCAGTGACATACTCCATGACGAAATACAGGCGGTCCTGGGGAGCAGTGGGCAGGGCTTAGAGGCAGGGACACAAACATCGGGGATAGGAAAAGCCCTCTGCTCCCCACTCAGGGCAAACAGAGAGGGCTCTGGGTCCACCCAGCCAGAAGTCCAGAGCAAGTGGCCACCCCAACACGAAGGGCCCTAAATTTCTAATCCTGCCTCCTCATAATCTGCATGGCCCAGTCCTCCCTTCTTATACCTATCAGATGATCTGGTGCCAGCTGTCCCAGAATTGAATACTAAGGCTCACACACGGGACTGAAATTCAGGCACACCAAGACCTCTTTCCACATCCAGCCACCCACATGTGTAATTCTGGCTACCTATGACCAAAGGTGGTCAGGCTTCACCTGTACTTGTTTTTTAATCCAGGAAGCTGGTCACACCTCCCCAAACCCTGAAAGTCAAACCCCTTGCTCCACGCCGAAGTGTCAGGGAATTACCCGTTTCTGACCTATCCTTCATTTAGAACACACCTACTCCTGTGCTCAAAGATCCAGAGAGCCGGCTACATGTGCTCAGAACCCAGCTTGCCAGGGGCACAGGCATCCTGGCCGCGCCCACTCTGGATCCCATCCCCTGGCCACCCTCCAAGCATGGCATCCATTCCAAGCATGCCCAGGAGTCCACCGTCTGGCCATGCCCACTCAAGAATGAGTAAGTTTCCTTTTCCTTGCCCTAAACTCAGAATCCCAAAGCAGACAGCAAATCCATCCAAAGGGGGGAGAGGCAAGGTCTCTGGGCCAGACTCTGTCCCCTCCCTCCTCACCGGGGTCTGGAAGGTGGAGTGGAGCTGGGTGAGGAAGTGGGGCCGGCCACCAGGACCCCGACCCCCCAGTGCCAGCACGCGTTTCTCCACCAGAGTGCAGTCCACGTCATCGTCCTGCACGATCACATCCTTTTTCAGGATCTTGATGGCATAGAGCTCGTCAGAGCCCCTGCGCTCGGCCAGCATCACCTACAGACAGCGATCCAGAAAGGGCAGTCCATCTGGGGAACTCAGGGTGCGGGACCTCGCCCCATCTCCTAGCAGGGACACAGAGAATGGGGTCCCAGGTACCTTCCCCTTTCCTAAGCGGTGGTCCCCTGACTTTGCTCCCATGCCCTTGAGGAAATGTCCACACCTTTGTACCTCTTCCCTCCAGGAACCCAAGCAACCCCACCAAAATCCATTTGGGAACATGGGAGCCCCATCTCTCCCCACCCCTGCGGATCAGAAATCCAGCCTCCCCACAGACATCCTCCCCTTCCCCCAGAACCCCAGAAATCCAACCTTCCCAAAACTGCCTTTTCCTAGGACCATGAGGAAGCTGAAGTCAGAGATGTGCAGACGTCCTTGGCCGGCCCCAAAGAAGCAGCGTTTGGGGTCTGTGGGACTAGGGGAAGGAGATGGGATGGGAGAGGAAGAGGGGCCCATCCGAACTCTCTGCGAGAAAAGGGAGAATGAGGTCCRGAGGTAGTCAAACCCAGACAGAGAGGCCAGAATGAGAGGGTGGGGAGAGAGAAACACAGGAAAAGGGGCCACTCCTCCCACCCTTCGCTTGGCCTAGGAGCTTTCTCTGACTCCCCCACATCCCGAGCGCTTGATTGATTGTTTAACTAACATTTGTGCCACCTCTGGGAAACCTTGCCATCATCCTCATTTTACAGAAGAAGAAACCAGGGAGAAGAGGTTAAGCCATCTGCCCGGAGTCAGAGAGGGCAGGAACCTGGCCAGCCATCGGACCCACGCTGTTCATCTCCGTGGTCTTGCTGCTCTCAGCCTCTCAGCCTGAATCCCTTAGACCAGGGGCCCCACTCCTGAGAATCTGCATTTCTAACAGGTCCCAGGAGGCCCTGCATGCTGCTGGCCTGGAGACCACTGGGCTCTGAGCTGCCAGAGCTTCTGCACCTCCTCCTGCCCCTACCTCCAGGAGGGTCCCCTGAGTGAATGGCTGCCTAGGCTTCTACACTGTCCCTGTCTGTCGTGCGGCTCTTTCTAATGCACTCTCTGCTTGGCAGGCAAAGGGACCAATTTAAAAATAAATAAACCAGGTCATGTCTCCCCTATGCTTCCAACCTTCTAACGGCTTCTCCCTGCATTAGGGTTTCATTCCATGTGGCTTCACGGGTCCCTCCTCCTTCATGTTCTGCCACCCCGGCCTCAGAGGCACTGTCCTCCCTCCCCGCACAGGGATGCCCCGCCCAGTCTTCCTTCCKCTCCCCTTTCCTCCTAGCTCTCTCTCCAGCATCCTTTGGACCTTGGCTCAGGCCTTCGGAGGCTTCTGCAGATTGCTTTATCGGGGTCAGTCGCCTCTCATGGTCTCTGCTACTGTGGACAGCTCCTTCATAGCCCTGGTCATTTGCCTCTCTCTGCATGCCTATCTGCTCACACCATGGGCCAGCCCCCCTGCAGCAGGGGTYTGTTTTGTTCTCCAAGATGCAGTGGCAGTTCCTGGGGCATAGCTGCAGCTGCACAAGGTGTAGTCTTGTGCAGAAGCGCCGTCTGACCTCCTGGATTCGGACTGCCACTGCTGAGAAATCTCCATAGCCTCCCTAGGATGCTGGGATAACAGGAGTGACCGCCAGGGCAGCTACGAAGAGCAGGTGTGTTCACATACGCAAAGCACCCAGAAGGTGCCTGAAGTGTGAGAAAGGCTGCTGTGTTTGCCATGGCCGGGATACCCACAGGACACCCCGCCTCGTTAGGGGCTGGCGCCTGTGGAAATGCATTGGTAATATTAATCCCTGCCCATCACTGAGTGGCAAAGGATACCACAGGCACATCTGCCTTATCAGTGATATTCATGGACTACAGAATTAACAAAATCCAAAGGTAGAATTCAAAGGAAATTGTACACACTATACCTGCATGCATTTTATTTTGTTTTGCTTCGTGTCCCTAATCTCTAATTTTCCAAGGAAACTATTAATGCCCAAAAGGCTAAGAGAGCAAGATTAGACAACAGGTTCTAGACTTGGGTACTTCAGGACAAATCACCGCAAGCCACACTTCCCTCCACTGTCACTCATGACCTCTCTACTTCAGGCATATGCCATCTCCAACTTCCTGCCACCAGGCCTCTACCCACTATCCACCAGGTATCTGCAGATCACACCTTCTCAGCTGAAGGCACAGGCAGGTGTTATGCATACCACCATGCAGCTGCTGAAGGACTCTGGGAAAAAGGCTCTGCCTCTCTGGGCATGGATTTCCTCCCTCTATCCTTCCTTCAATGCAGCCAGTGCTCAAATTTCAAAACGCAAAAGAGCCAGTGGAGGAATATGCTCAGTACACAGATAGTCTCACTTAGTAGGTCTGCAAAGAGGTGAGAAACATGCTTTTTGAAGCAAATGCTCCTCTAATTCTGATGCAGGTGACCACAAACACAACCAGAACCCTGGTGGGAGCTGCTCTAAGAGTCCGGGAAGGACTAGCTGTGTTGCTGCTGTTGAATCTCACCTGTCCTGCAGCTATCACCTAAGTGCCGCTTCTTCTGGGAAGCCCCTGGGCCAGGTGTTGGGCTCCTACCACAGCCTGTGGCCACCCACTCCCAGCCCCTGCTAACAACCCCTGACAGCCCCTCTGTCCCCGTGATTTGTGCAGCAGCCGGGCAGTGCGAAGCTCCCCCAGCATTGCCCACCCCCTTGCTTGGTGACAAGATCTGGCGAGAGGGTGCTGAGCGACAGAGGCCTTGGGAGCCAGAGGCCCAGAGCACTTCCTGATCCTCAGCTGCAGCCCAAGTCTAGCAGCCTTCTTCCTGCTTCCACCTTGCCTTCTGCGGCCTGCATGCCACACCAGGGCAGTCACCTGTTACAACCTCAGTCGGCTCAGCTCAGCCCTCTGCTGGGTGCTCCATGCCTTCCCCCTCACCCAGGGCCATCCTGGAGAGATGAGCAGGCATCCCTTCCCTCTCAGCTCCACCTCCTCCCCCTTCCTCTGCTCAGGCTTCACTGTCCAGGCATCCTGACCTGCTCTGGCCTCAGGACCCTTACATGTGCCCCTCCCTCTGCCTGGGAGGCCCTTCTCCCAGGGGTCCCTGAGGCTCACTCCCTCACTTCCTCTTGGTCTTTGCCTGAGAGCCACTTTCCCGGGGAAGCCCTCTGCCTACTGAGAACCTCCCCAGCAGCATTCCCTGCCCTCCCTAACGCTCATATTCCTTCTTTTCACTTGTCACCGGTCACCTTTTACACGTGACCATGTACTTGTTTATTTGGGTTCATGTCTTCCCCCCAGTGAAAGCCCCAGGAGGGAGGGACTTTTTCTGTCTTGTGCAGAACCAGGCTTTGCACATGGAGATGCTCCACAAAATGTTCTCTGACAGAGGAGCTGGAGAGAGAGCCTGCCTGCCCCTCCAGGCTCTGGGGAGCTGCCCCCACTCTCCAGGCTGTGCCCCTCCCCAGGGCCTGAGCCACCTCCATTTTCAAACACATATCCCCTTGTCCTGGCCATCTCAGGCTGCCTCCTTGTCAGAGAACCACCTGCTTCTAATTCAGGACAGGGCCTGGTGCATGCCATGCCTCAGGAACTACTGCTCTGGGACTGGGTGAGCAAAGGCAAAGGCCGAGGGCCCCAGCCACTGAAAGATGGAAAACCCGAGGGCCAGGTCAGACCTCAGTGCCTCAGGAGAGCCCTCCTGGCCACCCACCCACAGGCTGGCTCATGGCCTCTTCCAGGCCTCTCCAGTACGTCCAGCCATCTCTAATTTAGCACACCTTCCTTTATTTAAGTATCTGTGACAAGTCTCTGCCTGAGGACACTGGGATTATTCTGCAATCATTGCATGTACCTGGCACAAAGTATGTGCTCAACCTATGTGTGCAGAACTGAAGGTGGAGATCAGGGGAAGGAGGGGTAGGTAGAAAGAGGGAGAGGAAAAGCCGGTCTCATTCAGAGCCCGGCTATACTCACCTCATACAACTCCAAGGGGTAGTTACAGGCCTAGGGGAGAAGAAAGCAGAGTCAGGGCCCCAAGAGAGCAGGTGATTGCCCAAGACTGGGGACCAGGGCCCCTGATACCCATAAGTTGTGGGGATGAAGAACTACAATTTCCATCAGGCCCTGGGGCTAGAGCCCCCAGAAGGGCAGAAGAAGGAGCCCCCAGTGTCTTCTGGGAATTGTAGTCCCAGGACCAGAGGGCAACCAGTGGGAAGAGGGCAAGGCCAGCTCTGAGCTGGGGGAGGCTGGGCTGTGCTCCCCTGGGGAAGCCGTCCAGGTACCTCAAACTTCTGGAGGAGGCTGCAGTTGTCAGCATCGGCCACCGGCACATTGTAATATTCGCCCTCCTCCTGGTTCAGTAACTTGTACCTGACATACAGACGGAGACCAGGGCCGGGCAGGGGTAGGGGAAGCAGGGCACCCATGGGAGAGGCAGAGACAACCAAAGGGAAGAAAGAGACACAGAGCGACAGACACAGAGATGGAGAGAAAGAGTGAGATAAGGAGGGGGGAGAGGGAGGGTAGGGGAGAGGGGAAAGAGAAGAGGAGGAGGAAGAGGAGGAGGAGGAGGAGAAAGAGGAGGGGGAGAGAGGAAGGAAAAGAGAGGAGGAGAAAAGAGAGGAGGAGGAGGAGGGAGAGTGCTTCGAGGTGGAGGGGATGACGGTGGTCTGGAGGAGAGACCACACATGGATGGAGAAGGTGATCCTGAGTGTGCCCGGCCCTAGCCCTCCTCCTCACCAGCCATCCACCGGTGCCTTCAGCAGTTCGGAGACACCAAAGGACATGGCCCCCATGAAGTCGTTGCGGGAAGTCCGGTCCCAGTCCCACACTTCCACGCTGAGCCTGCGCTCCACATCCCCCGGCTTCAGGTTGCTGTGGCAGGAGAGGGGCAGGGTGAGGRGTGGCCATTTCCTACCCATGCAGCCACGTCCACCCTGGCTGGTGGGGCCCACATAAACCTCCAGGGCTCCAAGTGGCTGTCCCTCCCTGCTGAACCTCTAGGCCCTTTCCCATCCCTCTGTCTCCTGGTCTCTCCCTCTCTGAGTCTCTGTCCTGTCTTTATGGCTTCTCTGGGTGCCCTGCCACTCCCCCCACCCTCCCTCCCTGTCCTGTCTTTGGACTCACACCTCTTCTCCTGAGACCTCTTTCTGTCTCTGGGTCTGTGCCTCCCCTGGTCTTTTCTTCCTAGTGACCACCTCTGACTGTTCCTCTCTCTCCTGAATCCTTTCCTCTTTGTCTCCTCTAGACTCTCTGGATCTCCTTTGTCTCTAGGTCTGCCTCTTTCTCTGGTCCCCTCCCCACCTGTCCCAACCACCTCTTGAGTATCTGTGAGTCTCTCTGTCTGTCCTCCAATCAGTCTCTTGATGGTGCTCTCTCTCCTCTGCTGGCTGTCTCTAAACTTGAGGGCTTTTCTCGGCGTCTGTATCTCCATTCCCCTCCCTCAATCATTCCATTCCTTTGTCCTACCACCTTCTTTTGCCCCTGCTTGGGAGAGTCTCTCTATCCTAATACTTCTCTCAGCTTCTCTCTGGGGTTTTCTGGCCACCAGGACCCTTAGATCATCATCTGCCAGTCCTCATAGCCTCCCCAGCATCCCAGCTCACAATACAAAGGTCTCATTCCACACAGGGTTTAGCGTGGCCTTCACTGTCCGCGTCTTCTGTTTTGTCAGGTTCCGAGGGTCTGGGATGAGCTTCAGTTTCACATAAGGATCAGACAGACCGTTGGGGTCCATAGGAATGAGGTTACGGGCCTCACCAACTGAAGCACAAATGGGGGGAGGGGGTCACTTGAGTTAGAGGCCCGGGAAGAGGCTCCTAGCCCTCTTCAGTCCAATCAAGAACCCCAAGCTCCTGGGCTGTAGCCTAGCACACGTGAGGCACTGGGTTCTATCCTCAGCACCACATAAAAACAAACAAATAAAATAAAGGCATGTTGTCCATCTACAACTACATTTAACAAAAAGAACTCGGAGCCCCCACTTTCCTCACGTCCCTCACCTGCCAGAAGCCCAGGCAACCAGGCTCTTTCCTCAACCATTCATCCAGAAATCGGACCCCAGGTCCTCCCACATCCAGCCCTTTCAAGAGTTCTGATCCCTAGAAGTTGCAAGAGCCAAGGCAGGAAGGGGGGTGGGGGCAAGCTGGAAGGGAGCGGCTGAGTGGGCGTGGCCTCACGGTTGAGGGCGTGGCTTCAGTGCTGTGGACTTGGGCCAGCCCGGTGGGGCTCGGTCACAGCCTCACGTCTGGGAGGGAGTGGGGCCTCACCAGTCACGTGGATCTCGTCGGCTGTCGGGGCCCGGATTTCTAGCTGTAGGCGCCCACGGCGCTCAGTGTGGTCCACCCCACACAGCGAGGGCACGCTCCGCACACAGCGCCGGTGCACGTTCATCTCGCAGCCTGGCGGGATAAAACTGGGGTAGCGCAAGCCCATCCCAGGTCCCACACCGCACCCGGCATTTCCCCAGCCCTGACCCTGGCTTTGAAGGGGCCCGGACGCGAGCAGTCAGCAGCGGGCACTCACAGGAGCACTTCATGCCCTGGTGCACCAGTCCGTAGAGCAGGGAGCCGCAGTGGTCGCAGAAGGTGGGGCTGCTGTAGCTGTGCAGGCGGAACTTGTGCTTGTTCCGGGGGTCCTGGGCGGAGGAGAGTCGCTTAGGGGGGCTTAGGGGTGGGGAGGGCCCCCCAGCAAGAGGAGGATTTTTATCTCCTTTTGCCTTGCTCTCTGCCTGCCATCTACTCATTTCGGGCTACCGATATTCACCAGGCGCCTACTGTGCGCCAGGCACTGTTCTGGTTAACAGGACTCAGCATTGAAAGAAGGCAGAGTATAAACATGGTAAATAAAATACGTAGTGTGGTGGACAGTAATAGATGCTCTAGAGAAAAAACAAACAGCAGGGATGAAGACTGCCAGAATTTGGGGGGCTGAAATTTGAAGCGGAGTGGTCAAAATAACAAAATGGCAGTTGGGCAGAACTTGAAGGTGGGGGCTTCTAACAATTTTGGAGAACTTGTGGGCTGCCCTGAACCCCAGGATCCTTTCCTGACAGCCTCAGTGTCTGCTCTCTGGGTGGTCTGTGTTCTCCCAGACTCAATGGGATAGGGGTGGTGACCCCTCAGTTATGGCAGGCACCCAGGAGACCTGAATGAACTAGCATAGAACACCCAGCAGGACTCTGGATGTCAGGTGTGCTCAATGTCATGGTTCTGGCCATAGTTATCGGTGTGGTTATTACTAGTGACGTTGCTGCCAGTCCTGTGTAGTCCTGAGTTTAAATGAGAGCTTGTGACTGTGCAAAGCCATTCCCAGTCTTGAGCCTCAGCGTCCTCCTCTGCCTAAGGGAAATAAGCAATTCACAGCTTGAAGCAATGCTAACTTTTCARAGTCATTTCCACAGGAATTTAGAACACCTACGCCACATCTACCAGCCCCCCCAAACTTCTACCCCTAGGACAATGTTTGGTTGTTAAATAACTTGATATTTTTCTTTTTCTAAGAATTCATTGAAAGAACTGTCATAGGGAAAAATTTACAACAGTCTTGGCCTTTATTTTAGCAAGGTTTCTATTTTGAATATATATATTTGGGTCGGGGGAGGGAGTTGGAAATGGCCATGATCTCCTTCAAGGTTCTGGGCCTCTAACTCCAAAGGTTCTTGCCACCCTAAATAAGATGCCTGTGCCAGGGTGTGTGCTGGGTGGGGTAGGGACAATTCTCAGCAGGGTGCCTGACACAAGCTATCCACTAACTAACCGAAGCTGTTAGTCTCACAGTGAAGGTCCTTGCTAAAAGAAGTCAGCACAGAGCCTCCGGTTAGGCAGATCCAGGTCTGAGTCTTGGTCTGAGTCATTATCTGGCCCTGGGCCTCCCCACAACCAGCCCTTTTAGGACCTTAGGTTCCCTACTGTAAAATGGGGGCCATGAGCCCTTCCTGAAAAGGATTCATGAGGACCAAGTGAAATCATGCTTCCAAGCCCTTGGCATTTCTAAAGCCTTGATCCGTTTACTTACAACAAGATCAAAAGCATTAAGAAGCACAGAGAGAGAAAGAGCGAGAGGGGAGCAGAAGAAAGACTTCCTCCTCACTGTTCATCCTGTTTCCTCTCTGATGATAACACTTTCAGCAATGATAATAATAAATAATATTTTGGTTCTAGGTTCCAGATACCATCCATGAGTATCTGACTTACTGAAACCTCAGAATTATTCCATAGGTGGACACAAAATTAACACCCCCACCTTACAGATCAGGAACTTGAGATCAAGTGGTAAGTTCCTTGAGGAAGGCTGCAGAACCAGAATGTGGCAGGGCTGTGATCCCCTGCTCGGACGGGGACAGAACACTTCACCTAACCTTACTGGCTGTGGAGATTCAGTTCTACTCCATGTCCAGAGACCTGGGTGTGTGCATAGGATGAGCACTGCACAGACCGAGCCAGGGCTGGTGGAGGTGGGCAGGTGGCCAGAACACACAGGCGTGTGGGCTGCGGCGTTCTATGAGGTCTCACCGCTATGTACTTCAACAGCCTGACCAGCTGGCTGAGTGTCTCCCAGGCTTCTGTGGATCTTTCTCTCTTTGCCTATCGTCTAATCACAGAGCGGTCACCCACCTGTGTCACACCCTGCACGTGTCAACCCACCTGCTTCAGGGAACTGTCAACACAAGCCGGGGACATCTGTCTAGATTTGTGCTGTCCCACTCAGTAGCCACTAACCACATGTAGCTCTTCAAGTTTAAGTCAGTTGGAATGAAATGGAATGGAGACCCCTGCCCCTCAGTGGAAGCAGCCCTATTTCATGTGCTCACTAGTGCCCGTGGCTGACGGCCACCTGATAGCAAACAGGACACTTCCGTCATTGAAGAGCTCTACTAGCCAAGGCTAGGTCATCAGCCCTGTTTTACAGAAGAGGAAACTGAGGCTCAGAGAGGAAGTGGAGGGGCTGGGAGGGGCATCCAGAGTTGACAGTTGTTGTCAGCCCTTGATAGGGAGAGGGGCAGGGTGGGAGGCTGTGTGCACGTGTGCAACTGCACTGGGCACGTGTGGGTGTGTGCCGCAGGGTCTCTGGGCCGCCCTCTCTCAGCATCACTAAAGGTCCAGGATCCACCATTTCCTATTTTAGCTTCTCTCAGTACCTGCGTGTCTGCCTCTGATTCTCGGCCTGTATCTCTGTGTCCAGAACTACCCGGCTCCCCTCTGTTGCTTTCTCTGTTCCATTTCTCTTTCTCTTTCTGTATCAACCTCTTGTGTCTTTCTTTTCCTGTATCTCTGTCCCTTTTTCTATCTTATCTCAAGGTATCAAGGTCCAAATTGACCTCTCTGTTCCTTAGGCCTCATTTTCTTAAATCCCCCTACCTCTGGATTGTAGCCTACCCCCTCCAGTGCCGGTCTTTGGTTTCTTCACCCCTGCCTCCTCTCTGTCCCCCACCTGTGTCCCTGGCCTGTCCCAGGCCCCCTCGCATTCCCCCTTTCCAGGCCAAGGGCAAAGAATCTGGGCCAGACTAGCTCCCCCTATCTCTTCAGCCCCCCTCCCCTACCAGCCTTAAAAATAGCAGGAGAAATTGGGACGGACGCCGAGGGGGTGAGGGCGGGGGTGCGGCTTGAGGAGGAAGAACCAGGTGTCCGGACACTCACATCCGTCTGGGGGCCCTTCCCAGCGCCTGGACACTCGAAGGTCACAAATTCGTGGCATCGTCGATGAACCACAAAGCTGCAGACTGAAGGTGAAAATCATAGAGACACAGAGGCAAGGAGAGATGGGAAGATCCAGAGAGACCCCCGACAGTCACAAAATTGGAAAGAGACTCAAAATTCTGACAGAGACAACCACACAGAGAAGATTCCAGCATACAGAGTCCAACAGATAGAAAATCAGAAGAGAGACCCTGGGCCGGGGGAGGGGGAACCAAGAATGTCCTCAGAGATGCAGAGAATCAGACTCAGAGCACAGAGCCCCCAGTGTGCAACCACAGCCCAAGGGAGACAGGGAGAAAGAAAGCAGCCTTCCGGGGACCAACAGACCCCAGCCCACAGATGGACACAAGAAAGCCAGGAGAGAGGCAGGCAGATTTAAGGAGAGAAAACACAGAAATATCCTCAGAAAACAGCGCAGAGTGGCAACTTGGGCAGAAGTGAGTCTGGGGGCGCTGCTCCGGCCCGCCCCCCACCCTGACTCACTCTGTTCTCAGCAGTGGCAGCTGGTGCTTTAGGACTCGCCCCCCTTTCCGCCCCCCAGAACTGCCGGCGGGCTGGGCCCCCACCCGCCCATCCTTGACCCCACCCGGCCTGCCCCTGCCTAGAATGGCGTTGTCATGGTGATGGCTGCCTGGGTGGGGGGGCTCTGACTTTGCATCTCCAGCCCCTTCCCCCTTCAGCTCCCCTTTTCCAAATCTCCCTGTTCCCATGGCAACAGATTCTCCAAATATCTGTCCCCACCTGGAGCCGGCCGAGGGAGGGGCCCCCAGCACCACCTCCGCGGTGGCCCTGCCATCAGAACTCCCTCCCCACCACAGGCTGTCTCTGCCACACCCCCCGCCCCGGGCTCCCCCGCGCCTCTCTGGGGACCAGAGAACACGTGTGTCAGCAGCCTCAGCTGAGAAACCCCAGCCTCCACCCTCGGGGGTCCCAGCAGTCCAGGTCCCGGCTCTTACCTTGGCACTGCAGGCCTTGTTTTCCAATTCCCCTGGAAGAGCAAGGACCTGAGGTCAGCGCAGGGAAGGGTGGACCCTCCCACCTCTGAGAGCCATTGGCAGTCTGAGGTCTTGGCCTCCGACCTGCAGTTCTGGGCCCAGGTAGCTGAGCCCCAGCCGCCTCCCCTTCTAGAAGCCAGAAATTCTGGTCCAGCCCCTCCTCCTTCAGACCCGGGATTCCAGCCCCCGCCCCTCCTCGCTCAGACCCAGGGGTCCGGACCCTAGGTTCCCACCCTCCTGGAACCCTGGAGTCGGGGCTGCAGCCCCTCTGTGCTGCTCCCTCGGAGGTCTGTGTGACACAAGTCTGCACCTCCAGTCCCCTCCTCTCTCGGCCCCCAGCCCCTTCCCTCACCAGATGAAGTCGGTACAGTGGCTGCAGAAGGTTGGCTGCTTGAAGAAGCGAGCGGTGAACTTGTGGCTCTTGACTTCGTGGACAACCTTCTGCCTCAGGGCCCCCTTTCTGCAAAACAGGGGTCGGGGTCCCCCCTCTGAATCGCCTCCGCCGGGGCCCAGACCCGCCATGGCCCCAGGAATGCAGCAGGGACCAGGACCCTGCCTTTCTGGGGAAACAGGTGTACTGGAGAGGAGCGGGGACTCGGGAGATCCCGAGGTGGGCAGGAGAGGGGCGAGGCACCGCCGGGTGCGCAGCGCCGGCAGGAGCGGCACCCCCGCCGGCCCCGCCTGGGGCAGCGGGCGGGTGCGGGAGAGCRGAGCCCGGGCGCCGAGGAGCCGGAGGCACGGGCGGCGGCGGGAGCTTGGGCTCGGCACCTGCTGAAATGTGGGAGCCCCGGGTGGGGGGAGGCGTTGCCATGGCGACCGAGGGGCGGGGTTTCTGCTTAAAGGCGCCCCCCTCCCTGAGACATGGGTCGAATGCCCTCCCTCTCCCCTACACGTGCACACACCCACTCCGAGAATTGGCTGCGGGGAGCGGGCATTCTCTAAGCCTTGTCCCCGACAATCTGTTATCCTGATCGGCTCCCTTTTTCTTCCCCACCCAGTTGCCTTGGTGTGTCCCGTTCGCCCCCTGCATCTCCCCTGGGGTCTCTGTCTTTCTGACGGTGTCACTCTGTGTCAATCAACAAACTTTCTGCTTAGTGCTGAGAATCCAATGGTGGACAGAGATTTGGTGTATTACTTTCCCTGATGCTACTGGAGTCTCTTTTCCCACGATMTGTGATTTTTTTTTTTTCCTCTCTCTGGAAGCGTCTCTTCCTCTTGACTTTGTCTCTTTCCTTCTATTCGTGAAGATTCTTATTCTCAATTTTCTCTCACTTTCTCCCCTCCCTCTCTCTCTCTCCCCCTTTCTCCCTAGATCTGTTTTCCTTTCCCTGTCTGAGAACGTCTGTTCCCATTTCTCTCTTTCTTGGGCTGTGTGTCTCCATCAATGCCTGTCACCTCTCTGGGTCTGAGTGTTAGGAGGATCAATCTCTGCCCCTCTCTCCGACTGTTCTTGCCTCTCTTCTCTCTCCCACGTCCCTGTCTTTATACCTGCTTGTCTGTTTCTCTTTATGGCTAATCTGTTGGGCTTGCCTCTTTCTCCTCAATCTGTGGTTTAATATGTTTCTCTTTGCCTGTCCTTCTCTGGTTCTGTCAATCTCTCTGTCGCTAGGGAAAACCTCTGAATATTTGCCTCTGTCTCTCCTCCCTGTATCTCTTTGTGATTCAGCGTCTCTCCATTTTCTCTTCTCTGTCCCTTTCCCTCTGATCCACTAGTTGTCCCTCTGGCCCTGTGACTCTGTTCCTGGGGCTCACTCCTCTGTAGCTCCCTGGGAATCAATGTCCTGGAGGTTGCTTCTCCATGTCTCTGGCTCTGGTCATCTTGATCTCTGGGGTTGGTTCCTCTCCACCTGTGTCTCCCTGAGTGATTCCATCTCTGGGGTTCTCCCCCGTCGTTTCCCTAGGACTATTCATCTCTGGGGGTCGCCCCCGGCCCCAGTACTCTGTCTCTGGGGGTCGCCCCGCCCACCACTCCCGAGCGTCCAGCCCCGGGACTCTCCGTCTCTGGGGTCGCTCCCCGAGTCTCCCTGGGAGTCCGTGCACCCCGGTTGCCGGCTGCGTGCATCCTCCCCGCTCCCCCTCCGCTGGGCGGTGTCCTCCACTCGCGCGCGCTTCCGGGGTCGGGGCACGCGGAGGCCGCACTGTTGCCAGGACAACCAAGGCCCGCCCCGGGCTGCGGGCGCAGTGCACCCTGGGACCTGCAGTCCGCGTCGAGCTCAGGCAGAGCCCGRGCGCGGCCCGGACCTTCCTTTCCCGGCAAGCCGCGCGCGGTGGGCGTGGCCGCGCGGTGGGCGGGGTCCCGCGCCCGGGGTCCCTCAGGCGCCGCCGCCGGGTGCTGAGCGCTCCCTCTGGAGGCGTGGGTCCTCTGCCCTCGCCCCAGCTCCAGGATTTCGGCTGGCAGACCCTGGAGACTGGACTAGGAGCCCCTCCGCCTTCTAGGCCAGCGGCCTCGGCCCTTTCCCGAGTGCCCAACGCTTTCTCCGCCCCCGTGGTGATGGTGATAGCTATTCTTTCTGGTGCCTTCCGGAGGCCGGGGCCCGAGAAGCCCTCTGAGAAGGCGGCTGGGTGCAGGTCGGACTCCCGCAGAGATGAAGCGGCTTTACATTACCCAAAAGGAATGTGCCCTAGTTGGCCCTACCCCGCCTTCTTCCAAACTTTTCAGTATCTCTTCCTAATTGTTTTTGCAGGTGTAAGGGCACAAAGGAGGTTGCGTGATTTTGGAGTTTTCCTAGATATTGTCCTCAGTTTGGGGAACCAGGACCTGTGGGACAGAGGTTCACGGCAGGAGTAATACACTCAATCAGGGTGTGTGGTCAGGCGCACCCAGCAGATAAGACCACGGAGCTGATGATAGCAGGAATGTTGGCAGGCTCAGAACCTGAAGGCCTTGAATGCCACTGAGGGTTTTTGATAGCACCTGTAGGCACGTGGGGTGAGATGTGGAAGGACTTCAACAGGAGAGGGCAGGATCACCTATGGATGTTGGGAAATTCTCTGAGGCTAGGGAAGGCCAGAGGTAAGATGGTCAAGGAGGCTGGGGCAGTAGCTCAGGTGGGGAACAGATGTAAATGGTACTTAGAAGGAATAGAGAGTGTTTTAGACCAGGTGCTTGGGTTCTCAGCTCTGAGAGTCTGTGGCTGGGCAGGGAACCTGGGAGGAAGAGTTGATGCTGGAGAAAAGATGCTGCACTCAGTGGGACACTGTGTTTCTGAGGTGCTCAAGGGACACCAAGGAAGGGAAAATCTTGTTCATTTGTAATCCCATCCAGCCCTCCTGGCTTGGGGAGGAATCCAGTAGACCCAGATTCTGCTAGTGTTAGCTTTGTTTGTTTTGGCAGGGGAGAGGGTGCTGGGGGTTGAACCCAGAAGTGCCTTACCACTGAGCCACATCCCAGCCCTTTTTATTTTTTGAGACAGGGTCTCACTAACTTGCTTAGGGCCTTGCTAAGTTGCCCAGGCTGGCCTTGAACTTGTGATCCTCCTGCATGTAGTTGCTGGGATTAAAACACCCTGCACAGCTAGGTTTTTCGGATGTGGCCAGGATCATCTTGGCTCCAACCTCCTCCTCCATCAGACTGAGAAATCTGTCTGGACCTCACCACTCTCCTGGAGTCCTCCCCAGAAATAAAGAAAGCACAAGTTCTCCTTTTATCTTTATATTGAGATTTTTATAAAGAACATTATGGATGTGGGAGTGGGGAAGGGACAAGGCTTCTATGACTGACAGCACAAGCTATTGGAACCAAAAGCTCCAGGGAATTAAAAAAAATAAAATATATATATTTATACATTTATATATCACATTATGCATGTGAGTCCCAGAGAAGCAGGAAGCAGCAGCAAGAAGCATCTAGCACACAGAAACACACGTGCACATGCACCACACTCAAGCAATGCCATCCCTCTGGCTATGGCAGCAGCAATCCCCATTCCCCACCCACCCAAAAAGAAAAGAAAGCTGAAAAGAAACTTTGATCTGGAAGAATAGGGCTACCAGTAATTTCTGCCCTCATGACCAGGAAAAATTAAAAAAAAAAAAAAAAAAAAAAGAAAAGAAAAACCCAGGCATATGTTGCCTTTAAGGCTGGCAGTGGCCATTTTATTCCCATCCCTGCCAAGGCAGGACATGTTATTTTTAACACTGAGGACCACATCACTGCCCCTCACAAATACGTCAGATGGTCATCTTCAAGACCATGTGGTTCTTGCCAGTTTTTTTCTTTTTAATAGTCCAGAATAATTAGGATAAAAGGCATCTGCACCTCTTGCTGCCTTTAAGACGGCCTTGGGGCAGTGGGATTTTAGTAAGCCTGGCAACAATTCTGCAGTCAACCTTGGCAAGACTGAGTGCCAGGCAGGGCCTAGGGACCCATGGTCTGTGCTTAAAGCCTCCCGCCCACTAGGAATTATTTACCTCCAGAGATTTTTTTTTTTTTACTTTAAAGGGGAGGTGCACTGTACACCCTCCTCCACTGGGAGAATGGGGGGCTGGTGCCTAGCTACCTACCCTCACCCCCCCACCAACACACAAATACACAAGAACTAAGGCACAGCTAGGGCGGGCAGGCATGCTTTGGCAATGAGGCCCCTCATGAGGCCAGGCATGAACAGCTGAAGTGAAGGGTGTGGGGTGTGTGGAGCTCAGCACCTTTGGAGGTGGGGTGGAGGGAGACAGAAAGGTCTCAGGGCTCCCGAAGGAGGAGGAAGAGGTGACTAGGAAACAGGCTACAGGAAAAACCAGAGGTGAGAAGAGGCAGAGGGGGAYTGGGGAGAAACAGTTGGGGGCAAAACACAATGTGGGCAAGCAAACAAAACAGGAAGGAAAGGAAGGGAGACAGCAAGAGGAAAGGGAAGAAAAGCTGGAGAAGCATGAAGAAAATAGAGAGGGAAGAAGGACTCAGAGGAAAAAGAACCAACTGCAGACGCTGATGGGAAGAATGAAGAGGTTGGAAGGAGACCGGGAGCCCTTTGTGAGTCTCAGACCTTGACAAACACCAGGCGGGCAGAGTACACCAGGTCAGCCACATACGCCAACAGGTTGATGGCTGTCAAGATGGCCACAGCCAGTCGGCGGTCCCAGTAACACACAGAGTGGGGGTGACGGACAGCACAGCCCCCATCCCTCGACCGCTGGGAATGGCCACCATACCTCTCGTCGAACTGGTACAGAGGCCAGAGRACCAGGGCAGTGGCATACAGGATGACAGACAGCAGGGCCAGACCTGACAGGAAGCTGGGGAAGGGGATGGGCAGCATATTGGTACAGTCCCCCAGGTTCAGCAAGATGGCTACAGCTGCCAGGATGAAGCAAATGGCATATACTGCCACACACCACTCCAGGGCCGGCTTCTGCTGGTACAGGGAGGGGCTGCTGATGAAGGCGAAGATGATGCAGGCTACAAAGGTCTCTAGCACCTTGAGCAGCCCTGGCACGGTGGCCATGTATCCTGTGATCTCACCAGGCCTTGCCCGGGTCCAGGCTACTTCAGTGGCATAAGCCACACACGCGATGCAGGAGAAAGCGGTGGCTGCGATGGCGTGGTCCCGGGTACGACCGTGAGACAGGAACTGCACGTAGGTGGTGGGGTAGATGATGGAGGACGACAGGCAGAAGAGGGCCGCGTAGCAGGCGAAGGTGATCGGGAAGTTACGCCAAGACAGGGGGAAGCGGGACTGAAGCCCACCTAACTCCACGATGAGGATGATGAGGGTCACGGAGAAGCAGAAGCACCAGGTGAACATGGACCAGTTACCCATGGGGCCCATCCAGGCACCCACACTGGCCACCAGTGAGAAGGCCACACAGGTGGACAACAGCTGCAACAGGCGCAGGAGGCCCAGGGGCTGGGTCAGTGCGCGAGGGGACCCCACAATCGTTGAAGACCCCAGGCCTGAGGACGTTGTKGTAGTTGTGATGGTCGTGCGGGTCACCGTCACCGCCATGGCTGCAAAAGGCAAAAGACAATGTCTCAGTGAAGTCCCACACAAAGAAATCCAGTGGCCCAGCCCTCATTTGTCCTAGGACAAATTATTCTAGGACATGGGGCTTTCAGTGTGCAAAACAGGACAGTCCCAGGCATATAAGAATGAATTGGTCACCCTGGTTCTTGGCTCAGACTACCTCACCCAAGTCAGAACCCAGAATTCTGGGTCTCTGTATTTCTCCTGCCCCCTCCAGACACTTAAAACTCCTTTCCTCCTTACAGATGGGACTCAGCGACCAGCAACCCAGCCACTTAACATTTTGAATTCTTCTAGATTAAAATAGGAAGACAAGAGGCCTATCTTGCAGGCTCCAAAATCCCCTCTGAAGTTCCTCCTTATGGAGACTGAAGGCTGTACACTCTAGCCCCTATAAACAAGCTTCCTTCTTTTATGAACTAATAGCCACTCAGACATTTCCGGGTCCTACTTATCCAAGAGTTCAACCTCCACGTGCTGTGTTCTCACATGTCTGATCAGAGCTCCAACCTCCCACCTTGATGGTCTTACAAGCTTCTGGAAGGGGGTGTAAACTGCTGCTCCCACCTCTCTCTGCAGAGGTCAGGAATCAGATTTAGACCTAGAGTACTAAAAACCAAGGAAGGCTAAGTTTTCTCCTTTGTTCCCTCACACTGAGTGTCCCCTCCCCCAGGAGCCCCCAAGTTCTGGGAAACTCAGCTGCTCCCATTCCCCTCACCCCACCCCAGCTCCTCGCACTGGAGTCCCTAGCCTCCACCGGTCAATCACTCAGCCCTCAGTCTCAGGTGAGTCACATTCTAGAGACACCTTTCTCCCCACTTCCAAATTATACATCTSCCACGCCTCATCCTAAAGGCCCTCAGGTATCAGGACCAGACGCTCAGACCCTTCCTCAGGATGCAAAAATGTCTAGTCTCAGCTGACATCCCTAAAAATATCTGGACGTGACTCTCAGCCAAAAAACTTTCCTCTCTCCAGTGTCAGGCTCACAGCAGAACAAGAGCCAGGCCTTACCTCTCCAGAGGCCTGTCCCAAACAGCTCCCAGAGGACACAGAACACTCTACTTCCCCCACGGATGCCTGAGGCCCGATTCCTTGGGAGCTTCAGGTCTCTCTTCTCTCAGATCGAGGTCTGGACTCCAACCYTCCTCCCTCAGGCCCCAGGCTCCTCCCTCAGACCCAGGTGGTTAGGACCTCAGGGCACTCACCTGCGGTCTTAGCTGAGCGGGCCAAAGAGAAAGATCCGGCAATGAAGGCGATTCAGTCGTACACCTGGAGAAGACTGGTCGGCGCCCCTGGAGCGGAGAGAGGCCCTCTGGATCAGCTCACGGCGGGCTGACCTGGCTCCTCCCCCCAGCGCCCAAGCGGCCAGCGCGGGCCATGGACTCCTCAGCCTCCGCGCGCCTCCGGGTCGGGGCCGGGACTTGGCTCCCAGCCCGACGCGTCGAGGAGTTGACCCTAGAGAAACACCGCCCCTTCTTCCTCCCCAGATACAAACTGCGGGCGGGAGTGAAGAGAAACAGGCGAAGGAGCAMGGCCCGCGGCCAGCGAGGGGCGTGTGCGATCTTAACCCTGCCCTGGCCAGGGAAGWACGCGGCGCGGCGCGAGGCGGGAGGCCGGAGGCCCTGGGCGGTGGCTGCGGGGGCGGGCTGCCCAGCCGCGCGCGACGTCTCCGCGCCTTATAAGGGCTTCAAGTCGGTGCAGCCATCTGGAATGCGGCGCGGACCGAGAGGCGGTGCCGGGACCCCAGCCCCGCACTGGCCAGCGCTGTGCCCACCCCTCGCCCGCTGTCAGGGGAGGGGCGCCCCGACCCCCAGGTCCTAGCAGGGATGGCAGGCCGAATTTCTGGGTTCCAAAAGTGTGAGCTCTGTAAGTACGGGCCAGGGACCTAGACCTCCATGAAGGAGTACTAAGCTGGGATCCCAGACGCCCGGCTTYACCTTGCGGAGGCCCCCTGGCTCCAGGCCGGAAATCTGGCACAGGATGCCCGGAAATCAGTAGCCACACATTCATGAACGCAGGTCCCCGGCGAGGGCTCACCTAGCGGGCACCTGGGAGGTGCCACGTGGATSGAGTCAGCCACCTCCAGCTCCCCAGACCCAGCCAGGACCTGTTAGCAGGAAGTCGTGACTAGCCGCACCCCCCTAGCTCCTGAAGGCKGGTACTGCCCAGCCACCCACCGGAGGATGAAGGAGGAGCGACGTAACTCACTCACTCCTCGTGGAAGGTGGGTCTGCAGGGCGGCGGGGAGGGGGATCCTGCGGAGAGGTGGGGGTCCCCCCGCCCTGAAGGCCCCAGCAGCTGCCTGAGGTCAGAGCTCGGGAATGCAAAGCCGCAGACTGCAGCTGGGAGAGGAAACGCCCCTTCGGGCTTCCACGCGGAGGACACCCCAGCCACACCCAGCACCTCGGCGCCCTCCTCTCCATTCCAGGCGCCACACCCATCTCTCCCTAGACACCGGGGCCGCCCGAACCCCGAATCGGCCTTTCTCCACCCCAGGAGCTAGACAGCCTTGTGCTTTCCTGGCCTCCCTGGCCGGACCGCAGCCCCCGCCTTGCAAGGAAGCACAAAGTTCGACCCCGGGAGGGAGAGGATCAGAAATTTTGAAGTACAGCCACTTTCCAAACCCAGGAGTCCCAGCCCCAAGTCCCTCCCCTCTTCCTCTCCTGAGCACCTCGCACACCAGATTCCAGCCCAGCCAGACACCTGGGAGGCCCAGCTGGTGTCCACGCCCTCAGGCCCAGGGGTCCCGGCACCACTCCTCCTCCAGTCCACAGCCCTCCTCCCTCAGACCCAGGGTCCAGGCCCCAGCTCTTCTCTTTCAGTCCAGGTTCTCAACCCTCTACTCCGCAGAATCCTGGAATCTTGGTCCAGCCCCAGTCTTTCTAGGGACGTAGACGTTGTGAATCACAGCCCATTCCTCCCTCTGGACCCAAGGATATTGAACCGCTGCTCCCGCCCTCTGGGTCCGTCAGCCTCACCTCTTCGGTCAGCGGCGGTTGCGGCTGAAGCAAGCGCGACAGCTGCAGACCAGAAGGGTCTGCGAGCTGGGGAGGGTTGGCGGGCTGGGGAGAGAGCGCGGGCGGGGCCGGGGGCGGGCCGCGGGCAGCGGCCAGGCTAGCGGCCGGGGCAGTAGAAAGGGACTTCCCCAAGCTGGGGCTATCCCCTGCCCGCCCTGAGGGCGGGGCCAAGATCACACCACGCCCCTCCTGAGCTGAAGCTTGTAGCGGAGCTCGGGCTCTACCAGTAAGCCCAGTGGAGAACTGAGGTCACCGTTGCCATGGTGACAAAACAGGAAGACACAACAGCTGGCGGAGTGGGGGCTCCTGGGGGATGCCTTCCCGACACAGCCCAGAGAAGTCTCAGGATAGGCCGGGAAAGGCTGTTTCCATAGAAACCCACATGTTTGTGGTTTGTTTAGAACAGAGCCCCCCAACTCAGGTCCCCACTCCAGCCTCATCTCACTCAATTGTGCCTCTCCCTTCATGTCTCCCCCGTCCCCCCCCCCGCCTCCTTGTCTGCTCCAGTCCGCCGCTCTGCTAATACAGACGAAACCTTAGCTACCTGGGTTGCAACGGATTGGGGAACCAGACCCCTGGGTTGAATAGGATCTGCGTGCTAGGGTCTCTGTCTCCCAAAAAGAAGATGGAGTTGAGGGTGCCAATCCTAGGCTCTACATGAAGTCCTGGCTGGCTAGAATCCCTGACTCCTGGGTTCCTACGAAGGAGTGGAGGCTAGATTCCTGTATTTAAGGATCTTGGGAAGGGGGTCCCTTAAACCACATTTACACTGGTATCTGCGGTGTAAGGACAGGGTGGGAGGGGGTCAGACTCCTGGGTCTCAGATATCACAGTCAATAGGGGTGGAAGGGTGTTGTAGCAAAATTCCTGGACCCCATGCAGTAGGAGTTTGGGGTACGGATTACTGGGTTCCACATGCTGCCTAAACTGGCGGGCCAGGTTTCTGACTGAAAAGAGCAATCTGAATTCAGACTCCCAGGGTTTTAGGAGCAGAAGGGGTTAAAAGAGAGCCTTCTGGGCCTGGAAAGATATTTTTGGCCTGCATTCCCGGCTCCTGGACAGGCAGGGACTCGAGTCTTAATGAGGACACGGCTGGGTCTGGGGGCTCTGGATTCCGGGTTCTGCCAGAGGGAGGGAACCAGTGGATCAAGGTGTCGGGGGCCCAGAACAGAGAAGGGCTGCAGGGCTCATTTTTTTAGGGGCGGCTCTGCGGCCCTGAAACGGACTGACAGCCCAGAAAGAAAAGGGAGCTGAAGGTCGGGGTGCCCCGAGGAGGGGCTGGGCCCCCGGGGAGGGGCTGGGCGAAGACCCAGACGCCCGGTTCCCTCCCTCCTGGCCGCGCTCACTCACCGCGCTCTGCAGCGGTCCCGGGCGCGGCCCAGTTCGGCTGCAGCTGGGCGGGGCCTGATGGCGACTGCGGAGGCTTCCCGACGCTCAGTTAACCGCAGCTTCCTCCGCTGCTGCCGCTGGACCCCTTCCGGGGGACGACGCGCGCGTGGCGGAGGGAGGGGTCCAAAGGGCGTGGGAGCTAGGTGTACCCGCCTGCCTGCCCTACGGAGGAGGGAGGGGCTGGTGGGGGACCAGGCTGCTAGCTCTGCAGGGGTGGGGGCAGAGATGRGAGGAAAGGAGAGCCTGTGAGCTCGGTTTTGTGCCCCCGCAGAGTGAGGGGGGTACAGACCCTTCGTCATTCTGTGTCCTCCGTCGGGGAGGGGTTTGCTTGTTTGTTTGTTTGGCTGCACTGGGCATCGATACAGGGCTTCCCTCGTGCTTGCTAAGTGCTCTGCCTCTGAGCTATATCTCCCACCTCTCTTCATTTTGAGACAGGGTCCTGCTAAATTGCCCTGGCTGGTCCCTAGTCTCGGGGATTACAGGCATGGGCTACAGCAACCAGCAGGGGAAGGCTTTTACTTTGGGGGTGAGGTGACCGGGAGGGGTTTTTACTGCTCCCAGTATCTGGCCTTGTCTAAAAAGGGTGGGCCTGTCTATTGATAGAAGTCAGTTATTAGTGGAAATCTCCCTGGAACCTCCCCAGGTTGTTGACATACCTCCTTGGCCCCACCTCTGCCCCCCTCCTGCCTAGTCACCCCCTTTGCCTGACCCCATTGTGGCAGACTTGAGGTTCAGAAGGACCTCTGCTTACAGGGGTACTATGCTCTGCCCTGTGGTGGAAGCATGTCCTCTCTAGGCACTAAAACCCCTAAAACCCCAGGGTTCAGGGTAGCAGGAAAAGGACGCAAACATTTGGCTTTTTCTTTTTGTTTCCCCCTAGAGCTGGAGATGGAACGCAGGTCTCGGCTCATGCTACACCCCCAGCCCAAGGTGCAAACATTTGAAGAGTGAGTCACTGGGTGTGATTTTCAGAAATGGCCCTCTTAGGTTCCCAAGTCTGTGTAATCTGGCATCACATATGTGTCCCTGGTTCAGTGTTTACCCGTCCTGTAGGACAGCCCCCCAACCCCAAGAGGTTATCCCCAACCTGGAACTGCCACCAAGTCTCCCACAGGCTGTGCCTCTGTTCCACAAGGCTAGCTGCATTGGGGTGATGGGGTACATGGACAGCACCCCCCCACACACACGCTGACCTCTTTGTAAATTGAGTTCCCTGATCAGAAGCAATATTGTGTGTGTGTTAACATCGTGGTGAATAGAGCCATTCATCACACACAGAAAGGCTGCTTTTGGCCGAAGTGCAAAGGGCAAGGAAAGCAAATAGCAAGGCCAGAGTTATTTATTCCAGGGAGGAAAAACTCATTGCCCAATCCATGATGGAAAGGGTCCAGTGTAATCCTCAACTGACCAGGCCTTGACGACCTTGCTAGGAGTCTGTGCCTTGGTGGGGGCTCAGCAGTGGCTGCTGCCAACAAGGTGGGCATTCCTCAGTGACGGAGCTGGCTAAGGTTGGTGGCCCACCCTGGCCATGGGCTCAGGAGTCTACTGAGCAAGCACTGGGGAGGCTAGTGGAAGTCTGACTGGGAGCCACAGAGCAGCCTCTGACCTAGCAGATGACATAATAGCATTCCCTGTGACACTTTCTGTTTGGGGGAGAGTTCGCCTGGGATACAGATTTTACTCCATTTTTCACTTCTAGAGCTTCTAACACAAAACATGTGGGTTTTATTTCATACACCAAAAGTCAAGTTTCTGTTAAATTTTATACACCAGCACCAACTGGGCAACCAGTGTTGTAATTCCCTCCCAGCACTGCCCTACGGCTGATGGCTCTGTCCTACCAGGCTTCCCCCACTAGATGCACATATGGGGCCTGGGCCTCCCATGGCTCCGAACACTGCTGTATCAGGAACCCCAGGACCTCCTTCTTGGGTTTGATGATTTGCTAGAAGGGCACATAGAATTTGGGAAGGCACTGGTATATTTTAAAGGACATATTTTGTGTATCACAGTCTCATACAGATGTACCATACTTTGGGCCCTTTTGACATTTGTTCAGTCACCCAAGAATATTTACGAGAATCTCCTGTGTTGGAACAAAGCAGGCTAAAAAGTGCCCACTCCCCTGGAGGACATCTTCCCTTTTCACCAGTGACACAGGGGTCAAGATGAAATCACATCTTTATCTGGAGAGAATGTTCTTACTGGCCTCCGGCTCTAGGGTTCCCAATGTCTTCCTTGAGGTGCACACTGGCAGTCTCCTGGGACTGATCACCTCCCCTGTATCTGTTCCTTCCTGGTTTGGGGGTCTTATCAGCACAGTATCATCAGAGCAGCTGACCAGAAAGCTGTCCTGAAGGTTTTGAAAAACCTGATCTCCTGGGGAGTCCATTTGGAAGTGACTGGAAGAAAGAATTCCACCTTTAGAACTGCCATTATCCCAGTTAGCTTCCTAGGGCACCAGCACACACGGATCACAGTCTTTTCCTCTTCTTGTCTTCTTTTTTCATGGTACTGGGGATTGAACTCACACATACTGACTAAACACTCAGGGTCACTCCAGGTGAACTGGGCTGCACAAAATAATCACTCAGAGACAAAGAAATGCCTTTCTCTCTGGGTCCTGTGATGGCTCCTCCAACCTTAGGGGTCCATGGAAAGAGAGAGAGGAGCATGTGCTGAACCCTTTTATGGGAAAGGGTCAGGTTTCAGGGGGTTGAGTCTAGCTTCCTGATGTCTGCATCTAGGGAGGCCACGCCCATCTCAGGAGCTATGTGGGGATCCTGTTAGAGCCAGGCCCATCCAAACAGAGGGCAACGTGCTTAATGCCCATAGTTCACACACACACACACACAGCCCAGGGCTGGCTTGCCACATCTCCACATTCCCAT